TATATAAGAGGCAAACTTAAAAAACAAACAAAAAAACTTGGAAAAATGGTCAGCAATTTGAGCATCTTGCTACAGAAAAGATGGAGAGAATAAAGTGTAGTTAAAATAATGGAAAAGTGTAGTTAAAATAATGGAAATTAAACAAGAAGCAATAAAGCAGAAAGTATATGTATCATTTAAATGTTCTAATTACTTTAAGTCATTTGCTGCTTCACACACAGACGCATGCACTCATGCACATTCATACATATACACAAATGAATAACACACCTTGTTGAGGAGAAGCTTTTCGGACAGAGTTGGCACTGATAAACTGGTGTTGTCCGATGATACTGCTGATGTTGCTGTTGCGTCGATGACGACTGTTGTGATTGAGCACTGAAAAATTGGCAAACTTTCACTTAACTTTTAAAAATTTTAACAATTTCAATCTTCATCTTTTCTAAATATATTCCAACCCCAAATAGTTGTATTTCCCTTGTTATAATCATCAAACTTTGAATATTACCCTAAGGGGAAGATTTTTGAAAGAGGGCAGAATAGAATAAAAAGGGCGAAATTTGAATGTTAATTCAAAACAAGGAGCAGTTCTTTGACCGTCCCTTTTTCTATCTATTGCCTCAAGCGGAGAAAGTTGAAGGCAAAGTGACACACACACGGATGCACATATACGTGGCGTAATATGGGTCACTAGGACGACAATCATCCGAAAGTGAAAATTAACTGTCGCTTTTGCTTTCCTGCACGCATCTATGTATAAATATGTGCACGTGTATGCACATGTGTGTGACTATATGGTTATCTATGCACATGCTATCTGCAAGTACTTTTACGAATTTTAGCAATACATTCGTTGTTCCTACTTCAACAATTATTTACAAGTGTTGCTGCTACCTTTTTTGTTCTTTATGATGATTAAGGTGATACACAGTGACTTACCTCATCAAACTAAATCAGTCGTAATTACCACAATCGGATAAAAAATAACAAAATGTCACCAACCAAAAAAATGTAAAAACTTTTTGCAGTAGCTTATGCCATCATCTATGTATAAGCGCTCCAAATGAGGATTAAAATTTTAAAATAGGCAGGCGTTCCCACTCTATTTATTTATAGTTTGAAACTTCAAAAAGTTTTTACGCAAAAGGGATTATTAGATAAAATGTCTCAGAAATAAATGCCCATAGTGTTTTAAGTAAAAAAGGTTACAACATTTTAGTACCTCAAGTGCAAAAATTTTGCTGTTTAGAATTACCAATTTTAATAATACATCAAATAAATAAATAAATAAAAATGCGTTTTGTAGTTTAAAAAATTAACCGGTAAATGTTAAATATGTATCCTTAGAAATCCCATGAAAATAAAAGCATTTTCTGATTGAAGATAAATCTTGATTTGTTTTTCCTATATATATGGCCATATTGTTTTCAGTAAAAAGTAAGTAGAATTACTAAACAGCAAAATTTAGAAGTTTAGAAAGTTCGGTCATAAAATAAAAGAATTTTAAAATATTCCTTTCAAATCACGAATAATCAAATGCATTTTCTGTACTATTCTTATCACTGCATCATATTTTTTAATTTTGTCAATAAATTTTTCCTTTTGCCTTATCAGGTATTTATTTGAGATATTAGTTCCTTTGGATCACTTCATTTTCTGACTAATCTAGAATTCTTTTGGTTTTTGATTCACTCGAATTTCCCTTCTTTTCCAAAATATTCGAGAAGACCCGAGCATCTCTGATAATTGATGGAGACATTAAATATTATTAATGAACTAAAAAATTGAAATTGATCAAATGCTTCTGACATTATATATATATATATGGTATTTTGTGGATATGTTATTTGTAACTTGTCATTTTTTAATGGTATGATGATCTATCACATTACTTCTTTCACTAACTCTCAAGTTCTGGGCTGCAAAGACGATAGAAAAAAATTTGTAGTGAAAACGTTGGAAATGAAAATTAATGATGAATGATGATATAAACAAAAAATTGAGCATAAGAATGACAGAATTATACTAACCTTTCTGAGTACTGTCGTTGTTGTCTAGAACTGGTGATAATGGAAATTAGAGACTGTGTTGTTGTTGCAGTTGAGAAAAAAGGTGATGACGACGATGATGATGAGGTTAACGAAGAAGATGGCTTTTCTGAACTATGACCCTCCAGATGTGAATATTCATCGACAATCAAATGGTCGTCATCTTCCTCCTCTTCCTCCATCTCATCATCTTCATCATCATGTCCGGTATTATCATGATTTAAGGAGTCATCACAAGGTTGATCGATTTCAATTGGGCGATCTGCTACAAGACGTTCATTCACTTCAATTTCTCGAGATGTTTGCAAACATATCTGCAAGCGATTTTTTTAAATTTCCGAAACCAATTTCTCCATATCATAAGATAATTTGATTATTCTCATAAATTGTGGTAACTTTTTGAAACTTGAGAAATCTTTAATTTTAAGAGTGATATTTACATTTTAAGCAATTGATACTTAAAGAGTGTAGACTTATTTTTCTATAGTCTATTTTTTTGTAGTATAAAGCAGATTTGTTTGATTGATTGTGTTTATATCAATTACTTGCATTATGAGGCGTACTCAGAGTTCTTTTGTAGTGCACAGAGTTGTTTTTGACACGAGTGAAAAGGGGATTTAATATAATGAGCTTAAATGTTTACTTATTAATCGATCATGGTTGTTTTCAAAAAATGAATGAATATATGACAGAACTGTACAATGTAACATGAAATAAGATAAGATGTATGCTTCTATTTCTTCAAAAAATATTGCTATTCCAAGAGCAAATATTGAGAAGGACTTCAATCTGCACGGGCACAAGACGTTACTAGCAGTGAGTAGGTGAAAGGAGACGAGTGCTGAACAAGGAGAAAACCTCGCACTTTCTTCTGTTACTTTCTTTCTTACCTTTTTGGTATAATTAATGTCATTGTTAGCAACCAGGCGGAAGACATATGTTGCTGCTTGCTTCGGCTTGAAAATGGGAAAGGATGATAATTTCAGCTAAAGACAGGAAGGTAGTTTCCGTTCACTTTTCTCCACTAAATAACTGTTAGAAGAAATAAATGGATGGATAAATAAATAAATTATATATATATATATATATATATATATATATA